TGACCCTAAAAGGTACGCATAAATTAACTGAGATGCTGATTTCAGGCCCTAAAAGGTACGACCACATTTAAAATGACGACGTTTCCAACCATTCTATTCTTGTATGACATTTGATATTTTTCAAAACGAACAAATCTGACCCTAAAAGGTACGGAGTCAGCCGGGAGTCAGCCGGAGACCCTAAAAGGTAGGTGAGGTCTCATTTTTGACCTTAAAAGGTCTGTCGAGCCCCCCTACCCACTTTTCGAGAGAGTCTCCCCGCTCCCCTTCCCCTGGATCAAATTGAGCTGCTCCTCGCAGTATATGAAGCAACTTATGAACCCGTGGCCTTACTTTGTCGGTTCTATAGATCCATTTTTTTCTCCGCTTTTTTAATAGCTCATCTCTTCTTTCTCATTCCGTATACTCTTATACTTACTTGTTTCGAATTTTTTCTCAAATATTTTGAGTGTTATACAAAACATATTCATATAGCCTTTTTCATCAGTTTCCTCATCAGTTGGTCTAATTGTGGAAAGAAGTTCAATTACTCTCAATGACATGTTTACGTATCTACAACAAAACAATTAGGTTCCCTGGTCGTTGATCGATTCACAAACAGAAACATTCAATTAATTTGACGTATGAGAGAATTTTGTCCTGCCAATTTTTCTTCCTTAGTACGCCTATCCAAATTCAAATTTCCCAAGGAAAAACACGGTTTTAGGTTAACGGATATGAGATTTCCCCAACGACAACGATCAATTACTTTACACGATGTTAAATTGTTTTAGTGTCAGACTGTACTATTTTTAAAGCTTTCCTATGACTTACAAATCTTTTACTCAAAATAAAAAGGGAATAAAAAATGAAATAAAATAAAATAAGTGAAATGGAAACAAGAAGACTCAGAAGAAGACTCTTCTCGTGACAAACAAATTGTCCTCCATTGAACAATTGCAGAAACTTTTATTCTGATAGTAAGTGGTCGTGATTTTGGCGAAGGAAGAAAAACCGGTGAATACGGAGAAAAACCCTCGAATCAACTCATACAAATAATAAGGCAATTTCCTAGAGGACCGAATATCGTATAGGACAGTCTCGTATAAGACAAACTCGTATAGCACGATCTTTTATAGGACAATCTCGCGTATAACACAATCTAGAATAGGAAAATTTCGTACAGGAAATCTCGTTTGGCGCAATCTCGTATAGCGCGATCTCGTACAGGACAATCTCGTATAGCAAAAATCTCGAATAGGAAAATCTTGCATAGGACACTCTCGTAACGGACAATGCAGCGGTATTCATCCATGAGCCCTTTTTAGGCCCTCAACTCATCTTATAAAATATGCTTTTCGTTTCAATAAACCTATTAAGTGACCTTTTTCGTTGATGCATTACAGTTCCAACTTTTCTTTACTCCTCTCGTAAGGAAACGTTTTGCACTCTTATGAAGATGCTGTTGTTAAAACAAAAACAAAAAAAAAACAAAAAAGAAAGAAACTTTTAGTGGAACTATTTGATAAACAAAGTTTCAGCGTTAAAATTCTGTTAAGATTCTATCTAAATAACGCCATATTCTTAATTGTTCACCCTCTTTAGGAAGTCCAAAAAAATCGCATTTTTAGTTTTCAATTTCCTCGGCTCTATTTTCAGCGCTTCGATATTTTCTCTTTCTTTTATGTCATTCAATTGTCCTATTTGTTCACTTCCTTTCAATGCTATCCATTGTTTCTTTATACCGTGAGCTTTGTCTTTTTTTTTTAAAAATCAAGCAAAATATATTCATTTTTCCAGTTCGTATATAATTGTCAGGTAACCTATAAAGGCTTTTTCTTGATGCCTTTAGGAAATCTTGATTGTAACGGCTTAAGAGCTCGCCGTAATTACCTAAAGTCCAAAATGTCCATAAGTGCCGGCAAGTGTTCAATAGCTCCTGAGTTTTTTTCAATTAAGATATCTGCGATAAGTAAAGCTCCTATACTTGAAATCAACTCATTTTTTAATATGTATAAACACAAAGGTTTGTGAACCAAGCCAAATATGTTATTCGTAAAAGAAAAGTGCCTGCGTACAATAGTTGAAAATGTCATTACATTTTTGAAATGAAAGATGCTTAATCAAAAGAATCAGTTTGGAATCAAAGAGTTTCTTCCGACAGTAGTTCACCTTTTAGGATGTGCTGTTTAAGCTTTAGCCTCGAGGTTCGTTATATATATATTTTCCAGTCATTTCTGTTTTCCATAACAATACGTCACTATTATTACAGGACAATGGAAATAAATAGATTTAAGATTTACAAACGATGTTTTCTTTAGTTGGTTATGGAATTATCTTATCAACGTCGCCCAATATCCAATACCACTAATAAACGACAAATTTATTTTTTAATCTATATGACCAAAAAGGCTTTTTCATGAACTCGTTGGGGATATTACCCAGCTCAATAGCTCAAATATCCTTTTTTATTCTACTGGTTGGAGTTAAAGGTGGGCACAGGTGCTTCCTGAGAGGTTATTCGCTGCATAAAACCCATTATACTGTCAGCTGTCAGAATTTTTTGGTTGTCACGGGGAATGGTATAAGTTTCGTGGTCCTGTCAGGTACGTCTTAGTATAGGTCTAACTGTGCAACGTTCAGCCAAACGCTATTACAACTTATCCGCCCTTCGAGTACGCTGAAGAAAACTCTGTCCTCAGGTGAGTTCTTGATTTAGCGTTGTTCTTCTTTCTTGTTTCTTACTCTCTATTTGTCTTCTTTCTTTTTCCTTTTCTTTTCTTTTCTTTTCTTTTCGTTTCGTTCGTTTCTTTTTCCTACTTCCTTACTTCCTTCCTTCCTTTCTTTCCTTCTTTCCTTCTGTCTTTCTTTTTCATACGCATAAAAACTGAGCTACTCAATCCCTCTTGAACAATTTCCTTAACGGATCTCAAGGATGTAAAAACGAGTCAGTTAACGTGAATCAGAAAAAGGAGGCCTACCTAAAAGACGTAATACAAATACCTAATCATTCGTCTTTACAATTTGGCTTCATATGAAATCAAGAAAATGAATTAGGTTTTCCAGATCTGTCATCTTTAGCAAGGATAATGGGAAGATTTGTAAGCCGTTTTTCTCCAGGCAAAAAGTAAAAGACCCTGTTTTAAACCTCTTGAGAATTACAAATCAAGGGAACTTGAACAATGATTGCATCTCTGTAGTCTTTTTTTTTTTTTTTTTTTTTTTTTTTTTTTTTTTTTTTTTTTTTTTTTTTTTTTTTTTTTTTTGCATGTATAAGAAAGTTATATTATTCAAGGAAATAGTACAAAATTATAAATTTTCTATTTGTTTGACAAATGAAAACATTAACGATTTAAAGTAGACAAAGAGATATTGTTTAATCAATCAATGTCTTTTCTACGTCAATTCAGTTTAAAATATATCACTCCCTATAATAGATACGAAAAAAGGCAAACTGCTTGCGAAAACATGATTCTAGGAAAATCAGTTATGAAAAAAAGGCCATATATGATTATGGAATAAACCTGCCAAGTGTCCTCGTAGAAATCCCGAGAGTTTGATTAAGCCATTATCAAACTTATAGCTGATTGGATGATGTGAGCTTTCGCACTTTTGGATTGGTTCAGAAGAGGAAACCAGTTGAGTGTAAATGTCAAAGTACTAAAGAAATTTCTCAAAATATCATAAGAGTCTGATGACTTGAAATATAAATCCATCATAAGTTTGTTCCGTTCACTTCACAAAATCTCATGTGAAAAAAATTGTTGTTTTTTTTCTTTCGAGCAAAATTTTCGTTTACGCGTTTTTACCTTTAATGGGATAAAAAATAATCAATCAGTTTGTCTCTCTGTTTCAGTGTTTCTTTCCGGTGACGTCGTGTAACTTATTTTCTGACACTTCACTTGGTTTCTAAAAGGTCTTGAAAACAAAGACGTACAGTTGACAAACACCGTTAGAATCCGTCCATGTCAACACCGCCTTTACCTAAAACCACTCAGTTGTAAAACGGCGTCATTGAACTAACTTCGAGAATTTTCTTTAGTATCATTCAAATTATTAACTGAACAAAAGAAGATGTGCAAGGGATTCCGGTAGTTCTAGTTAATGAAGCTATGAACAAAAGTGTCCTCTTGGATTGCAATTATTTTCCCGCGTCTTAAATCATTTCTAAATCGCTCGCAATTTCAAGTTTTGTTGATTGTCTCAATTCCGAAAAGATCACAAAGTTCATTCTGCGCATGCGCAATAGCGAAAATCTTTTTCATACAGACGCTCTAATCGTATGAACAACAGCTTAAAGAAAACAACTTAATTTGAAAATTCTTGCTGTTATTTAATCGATTGATTAATTACAAAGGATGTCGTTTGTAAATGAATAAAATCTCAACGCAAACAAAACAGACTGAGATTTCCGTTGTTTTGACAGACGGCAATTCTCAGCTGCCTCGCTGTCTAGAGTCTAAAATCCCTTATTTATCCCAGTCTTTTTGAAGCTATTATATAGAAATTTGAAGTAAAATAAAGGAAATTTTGGCTCCAGTTATTAAGCTATCGTTTAAGTGAAGTTTTGGTTTATCGAGTCGGTGAATTCTCTAATTTGTATCCTCTGTCTTTGAATTACCAGAAGTTTCGCATAAATATTTAGAATTCATCAACAAAGCACTTACGTACTTTTTGAATAAGAAATGGAGGGGTGGAGAGACCGGTTACTTGTGATGCAGCGGGAAGTACTGAGACAGACGACTGCTGCTGCTGATCCCTTGTGTTGATTACGTTTGGTGTTCTTTCTAAAAGAAGTTCGGAAGACGGGGGTTGTTGGTATTTTTAGCAGCATAAAGTATAT